CAGAGATCAAACCCACAGAGGACCTAGCTGCCTAGAACAGGGCTGAGTCTGGGCCTGAAAGTATTATACTCTTAAGAGTTGTGGCCCTGAGGCCTTCTTGTGGGAGATACCCTGGCTGCTGCCTTCCGTGGGAGATCCCTGTTGGACATTGTAGGGCCCGCACTGCCACTGACGAGTCATTTGACCAGTTGGAAAATACAGGTTGTCAAGAGCGACGCCATGTGGCTGTAAGTTGCAATGACAATAGTGGGCCGATGACGCCCAGCCTCCCTTTCTGGTGTAAGGAAGTTGTATTTTCCCTTAGGAATTTTTGGATAACTTAATCCCCTATGAGTTTTTTGAAAATGGTGGCAGGGGCCCTATTTGTATATCATCAACTTATTAAACTGAGAAATAGAGGATTGAGCTGATAACCTTTTTTGGAAAAAAAAAAAGCGATCATATTTGTACACTGCAGAGCTGTTTTTATAGTTTTTACCTGTATATCAGAATGCAAAAAAATTAGACTTGAAGGCACCCAAACAAAAACCTTTCCATTTTATACCCCCTTTGAAAACTTGTCCGTAGTTCCATATCGCCTCCTGGATAAAGTCCCAGCTCCTTAGCACACCTCCTAAGGCTTTCCTCCTCTGCTTCTTCAATGATGCAACACACTCACCTTTCTCAAGAAGCCTTCAGTAAGTTCCATTATATTTATAAATCATCTGGGAGTTAGGTTTCTGGGGATGGCAGATGTGAGCTGTAACAACAACAAAAAACAAGGTTTACTGAGCACTTTTGAACTAGGCATTATAATAATGTGCTCTGTTGGAGTTATTATTTAATTTGCACTTGAAGTTTTCTCTAAATACCTTCTCTCCCTGTATTGCTGGAGAACTCTTTTTCATCATTCAGAATCATTCTTCTTAAGTATTCCTTTAGGTTTACAGTTCTCAAGCTTGGTTGCACAGTGGAATCACCTGGGGCAGCTTTACAAACTGACCTTTGGTCCGACCCTAGAGATTCTGATTAAATTGGTTTGGGGCCTGAGCATCAAGTTTTCAAGGCCCTCCAGGTGATTCTAATGTTGAGGGTTGAGACCCACTGGTCTAGTGACAGATCTAGGTAATCCTTAAAAAAAATGTGCCGTTTACCCTTCTCTGGTCATGATATCACACTGTATCTTAATTTCAAAGTATATCCCCATCTCCCTAACTAGACCTTGAGCGTCTTCAGTCAGCCACCTCTGCATTTCTGGACCCCAGTGTAGGGCTTGACACTTTGTGGAGATCTAGACAATGTTGAATAGAAGGATAAAATGTTATCAACAAACACTTATCAGAGTCATCCAAATGTCAGGCGCTGCAGAGCTCAACCAAGTCTCAATCATGCAGAACAGCTGTCCGGCGCCGCAGCAATAGCTCACAGTCATGGCATGTGTATGTATGTGGGGCGGGCAGCCTGCGTTGGCCACGAGGCTCGCGCCGCTCTCCCACCTCCGCCTCCACTGGCGTTTTTCTGAAGTCTTCCGGTCAATTGAAGCTCCAGCAGAGCGATATAACAATGCGAAGCCAGAGCGAGTTGCAAGTGCGATGGAAGTGCGCAGGCGCAGAGGCCAAACCAGCAAAGCACGCTCGCGTCTGAGTTACTGGTAAGCCCCGCCCACAGCAGCGGAGCCAACCAGAAGGCTCAGGGCCGTCCCAGCCTCCCGTGCGACCGGAGAAAATCGCTCTGGGCCTTCAGCGGAAGCGGAGCCGATCGAGTCCCTTCGACGCGCTCGAGCTCGATTGATTGGTCTGCCTCCCACTGCGCGGTAACGGTCGCGGAGGCGGGGCCCGAGGCTGCTGAGCCGGCAGGGCTGGGCTCGCTGCTGGTGGGAGGCGGCGGCTGAGGAAGGTGAGGGTCCCTTGGGCTTCACAAAGGCGTTGGGTAGAGCGCCAGTCCCCGAAAATGACCTTGGCCCTGCAAGTGGTCAAGCTGATCCCTGGGGGCCCCCAGAGAGCAGCAGCCTGGGACGGGTTCGCGCCAATTAAAAATCCCAGTGTTAGGACTGGGGACCTGATAAACCTGGTTCGAGCCCTGACTCCCCGCCCTTTGTGTTCTTTGGCATCTTAAGTAACGTCTTAGCGCCTCAGTTTCTTCATTTATAGAATACAGCTGATAATTCTTTCCTTGCAAGAAGATGAAATGGGGCAGTAAGTGTAAAGCTTAGAATTGTCCAGTGCAGACTGGATTCTGGATAAGTTGTAGATAATTACTCCATCCGCAAGAGTCGGCCAGAGCTGCCCCCGCTCCACTTGTCTGTGTCAACGAGTCTGAGAAGATTGCTTGGCTAGTGAGGACTCAGAGCAAAACTGTAGTGGTATGTGCGAAGGGGTTGGTGGTATCCCTTTCTCTTGTTTATTAGGCTCATTCCAGATTCGGGGGCCTTTGATTTGATACAGTCTAATTTGATTCTATTAAGAAAATCACCGAGGTGGAAATGTCAGAAGGCTAAAAGACTCGTAACATAGAGACCAATCAGAAAGGGGTTTCTACTACCACTTTATTTTCTTGATAATATTAAACACTGTGCAGGTATTACCCATATTGGCTTCAGTCCTTTGCATGAGTTTTTCACTTTCAGTATGCGGAGTAGACCTGGGCCTCCCCCGCCCCACCTTGGGGAAGAAGTCCGACTAGGGCTTTTGCCTTAGTTTCTGCCCCACCTTGGGGGAGAGGTGTATTCTGGCCCCTTTATATAACCTCTGCTGGGGCAGAATGATTTGGTCGAGATGATATCCAGTCCTAACTCCATGTCTTTGTAGTAGATTCAATTCTTTTTAGGACCATTAACAGTATGTTGGTATATTTTTAGAATAGAGCTTTTGCCTTTAATAGACAGTAGAGACTTTGAAAACATTGCATGTTCCATTAACTGCAAGAATGTGAAATATATGCTTTTGAAAAAGCTAGTTACAGATTTTAATGTAACTCACTTGAGAAAGAACAGTTTCTTGCCATAGTTTGTTATTTCCAGCGTTCTCCCCAAAAGTGAAAAATAATTACATTTTAATGTATAGTGCATGTTACAGGGGCTTCATACCCGGACAGTGCTGGAAGATATAGCTGTTTTGCTTCATTGCATTTGGCTTTCTATGCCAAGTACAAATTCCTAACTTGCAGCCCCTGTTCTCACAGTCTTTAAGGGTGTTATGACACTGCTAAAAGCTATAGCTTCTGCCTTGGCTAGCCTTTGGTTTCACCTTCTTGAGACTCAAAGTTCCAGCTGTTTCCTGTCACAGCCTGAATGGGGAAAGTCTGCTACAAACTATTGGCACTTTAATTTCATAGTGCGGACCTCTAAAAAGGAGGGCTTGGTTACAGGTGGAATTGAGACAGTTTTCTTCTGCCTTTGCCTTTTGTGTTCAGTGGTATTTGTCTCTCTGAGAATGCTCCTCTTTAGTATCCTTGCAAATGAGAATATTCTACCTTTGGAGCTAGAAGTCAGAATTGATGTTAGACAATGATAGATTTGGACCCCCAGCAGGGAGAGGAAGGTTAAGAAGGGAGAAAAAATAGGGACTCCAGTGTTGAGCATTGGAGTCCATTAGTTACTTCAGTTTTTCCAGCTTCATTTCAGTGGTTACTGGTACCACGGATGCCTGCTCTGGGAATAACACAAGACCATTCTTACTGTGAGGTTAAACATTTTAAGATTTTCTGTGTTTATTTTTTTGAAACCTAGATGAAGATCCAGTTTCAGACGTGAGATTCACTGGGTGATCATTTCATTGAGATCAACTTGGATGACAGGTAAAAAGTGCAAGAGGAATGTGCTATGACTAAGCTGTGTCTGATGTGGCAAATGACTCTCTGGATGTTGGAAGGTTATGGAAAGGCTCTATTATTTATTGACGACTAGGTACATTATATTTCCTTTTGACCTTCTGGTAATCCTATCATGTAGTTATTTTAAATTCAGTTAAGGAAACTGAAACCCAGAGAGACTAAGTAACTATTTAAGATATCACAGATAGCTGGTCACCAACTCTAATCACCTTCTGTCTTGCTGTGTGCCAGGCACTATTCTATTTCCTTTCTATAAGCATACCTCATTTTATTGTGCTTCACTTTACTGTGCTTTGCAGATACTGCATTCTCTACAAGTTGAAGGTAAGACCCTTCATAGACAAAACGATTACAACTTGCTGAAGGCTCAGATGATGGTTAGCATTTATTTTTTTAGCAATAAAATTTTTTTTAAACTAAAGTATGTGCATTGTTTTTTAGACATGATGCTATTGCACATTTAATAGACTACAGTATAGTATAAACATTTATATGCTCTAGGAACCAAAAATTTGTGACTCACTTTATTGCAGTGATCTGGAACCAAACCCACAATAACTCTGAGGTATGCTTGTATATTACAACAACCCTGTGAGCTAAAAGCTTTTATTATCCTTATTTTATGATAAGGAAATTGAGGCACAGAGATAGTATTTTTCTGACTGTGTGGCAGAATTCACAGTTCTAACCCAGACAAGCTGGCTACAGAGCTATACCAGCTTTTTTTTTGGTTAGTATTTCCTTTACTTTTGTTTTTATTGTTATTTAACAACATCTTCATTGTAAAATGAATCTTTATTTTGAAATCAAACAGAAAAGAACACACATACCAAATGTATACCCCCCAGGTCAGGGTATAGAACCGTGCTAGCATGCCAGAGCTGCTCCATTGCCCCACCCAATCACAGTTAATTCTGTACTCCCATTAGTAGCCATTCTTCTGAAGTAATAATTGCTTCATTGTGTTTAAAAAAGTTTTTTCACAAATACATAATCCTAGACATTATGATGTAGTTTTGCCTATTAAAAACAAACAAACGAAAATCTCAATCTGTATATTCTCTCTCTGTTCCTTTATCTGAGTCATTTGACCTGTATATTCTATAGCCTGGATTTTGCTGATTGTATAATCATGTACAGTTTAATATGTTCCTCTGTCTTGAGTCATTTCTGCACATTGGTGGCTGGATTCCAGGCTGGATCAGACTCAGATTCTCTCGGCGATGGTGTGCAAGACCATAGGAGGGGCATAATTTGTCATTGTTTTTGTCTTTCTGAATCTCATACCTGTTAAACAGTAACTTGCCATTTCCCCAAGGCCCTGGCAACCACCATTCTACTTTGTTTCTATGATTTTGATTACTCTGAGCACATCATATAAGTGGAATCATCTCATACCTGTTAAACAGTAACTTGCCATTTTAGTTTGATATAGTCCCATTTCCCCAAGGCCCTGGCAACCACCATACTACTTTGTTTCTATGACTTTGATTACTCTGAGCACATCATATAAGTGGAATCATACAACATTTATCTTATTGTGACTGGCCGATGTCCTCAAAGTTCACCCCTGTTGTAGCATATGTCAACTTACTTCCTCTTCAAGGCTGATGACATTCCATTGTGTGGCTAATACCACATTTTGCTTATCCATTCGTCTGTCAGTAGACACTTGATTTGCTAATACAGTTTTGCTATTGTGTATAAAACTGCTGTGAACATGGATGTACAAATATTTCTTGGAGACCCTGCTTTCAATTCTTTGAGTATATACCCAGAAATAGAATTGCTGGATCATGTGGTAATTCCACATTTAATTTTTTGAAGAATCACTATGCTGCTTTTTACAGAGGCTATACCATTTTGCATTCCCACTGGCAGTACACAAGGGTTCCCCTTTCTCTACATCTGTGCCAACACTTGTTACTTTTGTTGTTGTTGTTGTTGTTGTTGTTTTTGGTAGTTGCCATCCAAATGGATGTGAAGTGGTATCTCATTGTAGTTTTGATTTGAATTTACCTAATTCATGAATTTATTGGCCATTTTTGTATTTTCTTTAGAGAAATGTCTATTCAGGTTCTTTGCCCATTTTTTAATCGGATTGTTTTTTTGTTGCTGTGGAGTTTTAGGAGTTCTCTATATATTCTGGATATTAATCTCATATCAAATATATGATTTACAAGTATTTTCTTTTATTCTGTGGGTTGCCTTTTACTCTGTGGATGGTATCTTTTGGTGCACAAAGTTTTTAATTTTCCTGAAATTCAATTTATTTTTTTCTTTTATTGCCTTTTTGTTTGGTGTCATAGCCAAGAAATCAGCACCAAATCCAGTGTCATAATGCTTTTACCCTATGTTTTCTTCTAAGAGTTTTGTAGTTTTGGCTTTTATATTTAGGTCTTTGATTCATTTTGAGTTAATTTTTGTATATGGTGTTGGGTAAGGGTCTAACGTCATTCTTTTACATATGGATATCCAGTTTTCTCAGCACTACTTATTGAAGAGACTGTCCTTTTCCCATTGAATGATTTTGGCACTCTTGTTGAATATCATTTGACAATCTATGCAGGGAATTATTTCTGGGCTGTTTGTTCAACTCCATTGGTCTTCATGTCTGTCTTTATGCCAGTTTCAACTTTTTTGATTTCTATAGTTTTGCAGTGAGTTTTGAAATCAGAAAGTGTGAGTCCTCCAGCTTTATTCTTCTTTTTCAAGATTGTCTTGGCTATCTAGGGTCCCTTGAGATTCAATATGTATTTTAGGATGGCTTTTTATGTCTGCAAAAAATGTCACTGGGGTTTTGGTAGGGATAGCATTGAATCTATAGATTGGTTTGGGTAGTACTGACATAATATTAAGTCTTCCAATCCAGGAACATAGGATGTATAATGATTTATTAATGTCTTTTTAATTTCTTTGAACATATTTTGTACAGTAATCTCCCTTTATCCATAGTTTCGCTTTCCACAGTTTTAGTTACCCATGCTCAACTGTGGTTCGAAAATATTAAATGGAGAATTCTATAAACAAACAATTCATAAGTTTTAAATTGCTGTCTATTTGAGCATGATTAAATCTTGTTTTGTCCTGCTCTGTCCCCTCTGGGATGTGACTCATCCCTTTGTCCAGTTTATCCATACTTTATATGCTACTTGCCTGTTTGTCACCTAGTAACCATCTTGGTTATCAGATCGATTGTCCCAGTTTAACAGTATTTGTATTCAGATAACCCTTCTAATAGCCTAACTGTCTCAATACCTATGTCATTCACTTCATGTCATTTCATCATGTAGGTATTATATCATTTCACATTATCACAAGAGGAAGGGTGAGTATAGTAATTTAAGGAATAAGATAATTTAAGTGAGACCACATTCACATAACTTTTATTATAGTATATTGTTTTTTTCCTCCCTTTCTTTTTTTTATGTTTTAATTAAATCTATTGGGATGACATTGGTTAATAAAATTATATAGGTTTCAAGTGTACAGTTCTAGAATACATCATCTGTAGTTTGCATTGTGTTCACCACCCAAAGTCAAATCTCCTTCTGTCATCATGTATTAGATCCCCTTTACCCTTTTTTACCTTCTTTCTCCCTCCTTTCCCTCTGCTGAACATTATACTGTTCGTGTCTATGAGTTTTTGTTTGTCTTAATAATTTATTGCTTTCAGTTTTATATCCCACGTATGAGTGAAATCATATGGTTCTTTTTCTGTCTGTCTTATTTCAATTAGCCTGATATTCTTAAGATCCATCCATGTTGTCACGAATGGCATTATTTTATCTTTTCTTGTGACATTCCAGTATATATGTGTACCATATCTTCTTTATGCAATCATCTATTGATGGACACTTTGGTTGTTTTCATTTCTTGGCCACCGTGAATAGTGCTGCAAATGAACATAGGGATACATCTATCTTTACAAATAAATGTTTTCAAATTTTTCGGGTAGATACCCAGAAGATGGCTTGCTGGGTCATATGTAATTCTATTTTTAATTTTTTGAGGACCCTCTATGCTGTTTTCCATAGCGGCTATTCCAATTTACATTCCCATCAGCGATGTATGCAGGTTCCTCTTCTCCCCACAACCTCTCCAACACTTGTTACTTACTTACTGCTTGTCTTGTTGATAATAGCCATTCTTACAGGTGTAAGGTATCTCATTTTGGTTTTGATTTGCATTTCCCTAATAGTGAAGTTGAGCATTTTTTCATATATCTGTTGGCCATTTGTATGTCTTCTTGGGAGAAGTATCTGTTTAGACTCTCTGCCCATTTTTAATTGGATTGTCTTTTGTTGTTGAGTTGAGTTCTTTATATATTTTGAATATTAGCCCCTTATCAGAGATGTTATTTGCAAATATCTCTTTCCATTTGGTTGGTTGCTTCTTTGTTTTGTCGATGGTTTCTTTTGATGTGCAGAAACTTTTTAGTTTGATATAGTCCCATTTATTTATTTTTGATTTTACTTCCCTTGCCTTTAAGGTCAAATTTATAAAATCCTATCTAACACCAAGGTCCATAAGTTTAGTACCTATGTTTTCTTCTATGCATTTTATTGTTTCGGGTCTTATATTTAGGTCTTTGATCCATTTGGAGTTAATTTTTTTGTGTATATGGTAACAAATAGCGGTCTAGTTTCATTCTTTTGCATGTGGCTTTCTAATTTTACAGTATATTGTTAAAATTGTCCTATATTATTATTGTTCTTAATCTCTTTGCCTAATTTATAAATTAAAGTTACTGTAGGTATGTATGTGTAGGAAAAAACAGTATATGTAGGGTTCAGTACTATCCGCAGATTCAGGCGTTCATGGGGAGCAGGGTCTTGGAACATATCCCCAGCAGATAAGCATAGGGGATGGGGGGGGGTACTGTAGTCTTCATTGTAGAAATCTTTCACCTCCTTGGTTAAGTTTATTTCTATACATTTTATTTTTTGAGCCTATCGTAAATG